AGGAACACTTGTACTTTCAGGTGTTCCCTTCTTCGTTTCCATGACTATATATGTTACAGTCATTCTGTAAAACCAGTCATTTGGCCAAGTGACTGAAATTTTAAGTCATTTGGTTAAATTACTAAAACTATCAGTCATTTGGTCAAAAGACTTAAAGTTTCAGTCATTTGGTCAAAAGACTAAAAGTTTCAGTCATTTGGTCAAAAGACTAAACAATTAGAGTTCTTAGACTCATTGCCTCAACAATTTTCGAAAACGACCAACTACAAAAGGAGTCGTCATCAGACCTATTCTGTCCAATGTGAGTGACAACGGACAGTATACAATCGCCTGCCCTGCTGGTGTCTTCCAAGGCAAGTTCTCGAGGAACCAGTTCGATTTGTGCTCAGAGAAACTCTTAACTTTATCAGAAGTCAACACTGAAACTTCAGTATCCCTTCGTACTGCTGTTGGAGCCGAGTCTTTATCAGGAGGCCAGGGTTTCGTAAAGTGTAACTGTGCTGGTAGCAAGAGATGTGGAACCAAGAAATGCAAATGTTTAACAACAATATTCTGTGCAACAGCCGGTGTCATTCAAGTCTCACTTGTCAAAACAAGTAATGTACATGATATGCAAAACTGTAAGTTCAAACTTGAGAAATAAAGTGTTCACTTAATTTTTGTGTGTTTCCTTTTGAACTTAAATGATTTAGTCACTTGGTCAAATGACTGGTCGAAAATTTTAATCATTTGGTCAAATGACTGATCGTTACAGTCATTTGACTAACTGAGTGGCTTGACAGATTGACAGTAACATATAACCAGCCGCTGACTTAGACCCAATTGTCTTGCAGTGTGAGCACAAAGGTTTATCCAAGATTTCAAACTGGATGATATTGGCAAACGGGAGCCGGATATTGTTTTCAAATTGGGTTATTTTCACTTTAATTCTGCTGAACATTTTAAACTTCAGTGAAATGAAGTGGGAAAGTTTATTGTCATTTGCTGCGATTGCTGGGCAGATTTAGAACAGGTTAAGATACCACAGGGTGGAAGCGCTGTGCACGCGAAATGTGGAGTTGATCCACAAGCAACTCCATTTCCTCGCTGGACAGTGAAAGAAGAACACGTGGTGAAAGAGTAATGGTAAGTTTTCCCTCGCATTTTCATAATTTTGCAAGGTTTTGGCATTTGGCTGAGGGGTCTAGAAATTTACAGATCATTTTCAGCGATCTTGTTTCGACACTCAGGAGGGTGCCCTCGCTTAACACGCTATTATAGAAATATCTGTAAATTTCTGGACCCCTCAGCCAAATGCCAAAACCTGCGCCATCATTACGCTTGCGCCACATGTTCGTCTTTCATTGTCCAGCGAGGAAATGGGGTTGCTTTCTGGGCAATTCCACATTTCGCGTGGACAGCGCTTCCACCCTGTCAGACACATCCATACATTGTCTAAATCAGAAGCATCGCGTTTCAGTATAGTTCATGTTATAACAGAATACATGCAGTTGAAGTGAAACGAAAATGAAAAATGATCAAGAGCTTTTTGTAGAACGATTTATTTTTGATTCACTAAATACTCAGATAACTGTTTAAATTGATGCACCACGTATCAACACGTAGGCAAGGACTGATGACAATATATTTGTAGATATCCAAATGATTTGCTTGTATTTACGGTTTCCATAACACATCGATGATCAAGAAAAGGCAATGTTTAATTTCCTTTTCCACGGATCTAAAATCACTGCTTGATCCTGTCTGACAAATAGGCCTCCAAGTAATGGGCTTCTCGCTCCCAGCTTCAATAATGGCGGCTTCCTCATTTACCGATACAGAGAACATATATACATGTACAGCATTTTTACTCTCCATATAAAACGTGACAGCAAATATATTACCCAAAACTAAACCCTCCTCTGTAAATCTTGTTGACATGTGTAAGGTACCAAAATAGGTTAGTTCCCACGGAGCAGACCTTCCGAGGGGTGAAAAAATGTGGCTTGTCCGCAGGGGAATTCAAGATCTGTAGTTACTAGCACCAGTGTGATATTACCAAGTGAGGGTGAGGTGGGGTGAGGTGAGGTGAGGTGAGGTGAGGTGAGGTGAGGTGAGGTGAAATTGGGTTAAACGTCGTGCTTGAGAATATTTAACTCATATGACGACGTGCATGCTAGTATATGTGTATGTGCGGCTGCTTGTACTAGCCCTGACTTAAGCTGGTTTTATAGTGCTAGCCCACTGAGATACCATGCCGCAGTGAAGCATGAATACCCCACTCAGACACATTATACTGACTCTTAGCCGACCAGTCCTTGTTGTACCCATAAATGCCGAGCGCCAGGCAGGGACCAACAAGTACCATATTTTAACGTCTTTTTGGTATGACGCGGTCGTGGATCGTTACCAGATGAGGTAGTAGGTACATGTTCATAACTGTTTTACAGTGGAGCGCAATAGTGCAGTGGTAAGGCGTCTGTCTATCACGCTGAAGGCCGGTGGAGGCACCTATTTTTTATAGGTTCGGCTCTTTTTACAAGATACTTAGATCCACATTGTCTCAGTTCACCCAGCTTTAAAATGGGTACCCGTGAGGATGTGCTGGCAATGTGAGTGTTTAGTTCATTGCGCCTAACAGGCCGGGGGGAGTTGAAAAAGTATCGGAAAGTCCTATGACCGGGGATAGTAATGTACACAGCGCCGTGAGCAGGCAATGTGCCTGGATGTGAGCGCCGTATAAGCGGACTCTTACTATTACTATTACAATTACTAACCAGGTGTGGCAATACAGCACGAGGGCAATAACCTGTAATACATCTTACAAATAAACTTACAGGTGCAAGAGGGGCGGTGGGGTAGCCTAATGGTTAAAGCGTTCGCTCGTCACGCCGAAGACCCGGGTTCGAATCCCCACATGGGCACAATGTGTGAAGCCCATTTCTGGTGTCCCCCGCCGTGATGTTGCTGGAATATTGCTAAAGGCGTCGTAAAACCAAACTCAGTCAGTCAGTCAGTAAAGGTGCAAGACATGAAAATTTGAAAAATATACAGGATGCTTAAAACATTTCAATCCAAACATATACTTTTATGCATTACCAGAAATAGATGTAGCCAGAGTTAGAGGAGTAGCCTGTCATACAGCCTGAAGCAAATATATCCACGATAGCCCACGCAAGGCTAGAAAATGTGGCAAGTCTAGATTTCCACAGCTTCAGGAAATGAAGAAAGTCTCAGGGCTCCTTTTCATTATATATATATTTTTTTTTACTATGAATTTTTTTTCTGTAAAGTATGTTTATTTCAGAGACTAGTTGTTGGTCTACGATGAAGCTTACAAGCCCGTGTGCGTGTGCCGCCCCTCGCACCAAAAGGTCAGTTTGATGATCTGGGAATGCATTACTAGTACTTATCATGGTGTTGGCACTATTACCACCGCTGTTGAAGGCAATATTATGCTGCCAAGAATATAGAGTAATTAGAGAACCATTTTGGGCCAGTTATTGCGCACAAAATTTTCCAAATGAAGACTACATCATGGACGACAATATGCTCAATATGAACTACAAGGAGGAAATTAACATAACCATGGGCGGATCGGGGGGATGGGGGTGGGGGTGTTTGCAGGGGTGCACATACCCTACCCCACTTTTGTCCTGAAAGTTCAGGGGCGTAGGAACAGGGGGGATTTGGGGGGGGCCCCCCCATTTTTTAAGACGAAACCATATCTACCTTACCATATCTACCACCGTTCAGGACTACGCCCCTGAAGTTTATTAAATAACACATGAAAACGGGTGAAAATGAAGTTGTGGACCCTCCTTTTCTCAAGAGTGCGCACGCACACGCACGCACACACACGCACGCGCGCGCGCACACACACACACACACCACCTTTCTCAAAAAGCTGTATCCACCGCTGATAACTGGTACATCCTGGCCCCCACAATCTCCAGATCCAAATGAGATCGCAAATATCTGGCTTTGTCTTATATGTGAACTGCATGATGTCGCCGCCAACATAACAACAAAAGATCAACTCATGGGTGAAATCCGCAGTATCTGGAACAACTTGTGTGTGAACTACAGATACGTTCCAGTTATATTCGGACACTTGACGTAATTTCCATAGACTTACATGTCAATTTAGTGTGGCATAAACAATTTTCATGAATTTAATTTTCGTTAGATCCAAGTCAATTTTTGCACATTTGTGAGGAATCATCTATTTTATGGTCTCTGATCTTCTACCTACAATCACAAAATTTCGGTTTAATTTTCCGTTGCTTATTTATCGAATGGGAACAAGTTAATCAACGTATGTATACATGTACAGTGCCGTGAACTCCTTTAACATGGCGGCCTGTGGGATTGTGCACTGGAATCAAACGTAAGTTGATAAATGTGATATGTCATTAGTTAAATAGTGGTCGGAAAACTGAACTGAAATTATGTGCGCAGAGCTGAGATGATTTCACATTTGCCTGTCAAATTTTACAAAGATCCATCCTAAACTCACTTCATGAAATTTATTTATGCTAGTACACTGAAATAACATGTAAGTCTATGGAAATTACGTCAAGTGTCCGAATATACCTGGCACGGGTCTGTATATGAAGCTACATTCGACACTATTCCAAGGCGCCTATGTGAAGTACCAAGAATGAAGGGTCAGCTCACCAAATATTAAGGTAAGACTTACTTTATTTACCGAGATACACGATTTTTATAGTTAACCCCTGCCCACAGTAACTACAAACTTAGCCTGAAACACCTGTCTTTTGACCGAATGGGTTTGGGGAAAGGCAGACTTCAAATCCCGGCACATATAATCATAAAGGACCACAATTTTTATTTTGGTCTTCAAACTAGTGTAAATGTCTGCTACAAAAAAATATGTTTTTAAATATATAAATATCTAATCTGCGAGAACAAAACCGATACCTCAAAATCAAATCCCGTTCGCATACCTGGGTATACTTACAGTAGATTCAAAGATTAGCTGTCCGGATTCGGCCAATCTGATTCGGTGCATGGCTGACGCCAAGGCTTGTGCGGTGCAGATGCAGCCACTTCCTGTGTTTGATTGCGAAACCGCGAAAATGGCAACAAAGCAGGCGAAGTTAAAGCCGGAGTGTAAATATGGAGCCAAGTGTTACAGAAGAAATGCTGACCACATCAAAGCATATAGTCACCCCAAAAGGAAAGCGGACGACGAAGAAGATACTCCCGATTGTCCGACTGGAGGCGGGGTGGGTTGTCTCAAATGACGAATATCCACAATCAATGATCTTGTGAATATTGTCATCACAGATACTTCTGTCACATTTATTGACCCAAATAGTTGTCCCAAATATAATAGGGAGTACTGCACTTTACCGGGCGCACTTTTTCAGATTAATTAGCGCTGCTGGGGTTCCCTAACCCTAATCCTAACCCCTAACCCTAAGGATCGTAAAGGGTGTCTAACCCTAAACCCTAACCCTAAGGATCGTAAAGGGTGGCATACCCTAACCCTATGTGTTCCATCACAGTACGGGTCGAAGTATTGCATTGACCCGATCTGCTAATACAATACGTCAGCCAATATTTAGTTTATGTATCCAGCTAATCCTAATGATCGAGCAAGCATGAGAGATCAGTGATGCGATATTTGAGAATTTGTGTTGACATATATATCTATCTGTCTGTATCTTATAATATTATTTATTGCGTGGCGACCGGGTTCAACAATCATCTCACCACCACGACCTACACCTAAGCAGGTCGGATCCAGGAGTTTGGAGATGGGGGGAGTATATAAATCATGATTCCAAAGGTTAGGGGAAATGCTCCTCAGGGAAATTTTTTTTGGGTGAGAATGGGGATTGCGAGAACCTGCACCACCCCTCTGAATCCGTCCTGTAAAGGATCCAAGAAGCGCTGAAGGGGTCGTCGGCATGGGTACAGATGTGTACCTCAAGTTCGATTCTGTATACAGGTTGCAGAATATGGACCATTTGGACTTATCCCCCGTTTGGGGTACCGGGTACAATTCTGTCTTTTGACTTTGTTCAGGGTACATTTCTGTATACAGAAACTCACCTGGGGACCTATTCATTACACAGAGGTTTGAAAATGTGTAAACCCTTGTAAATTCCGAAATACGGGACTGTAAGACCCGCACACCTGTTGACCAAGTGTCTTACAAGGGTCTTACAGTCCTGTACACCCTTTCAAAACACTGTGTGAGGAATTTATTATATTAGCTTTAAGATCTTATAATGTAGCTTGTCTATAAAAACCAACATTCAATCTTCGACAGAATGTGACGCAAAACATTTCGCCATGTTTTTTCCTGAACTGTCATTAAGGGAGATAACTTGTGATGGTTTGGTACCCACACCGATACCGACCACTTCAGCCCAAGAAACACACAAAATCTGTAAAGATAGCAGCAGGAGCCAGTTAGTGCAGTACTAGCTGCGACATTTTAACTCCACAGTTGCCTAAACATGACAATCAGAATTTCTATTTGAAACAAAATGTACAAAACGAGCTTGTTGACAAGTGAACACAATGAGAGCCTTACCTAGACATACTGTACATGGCATTGAGTAGATCACTGTACATCAGTACAGTCTATCAACCCAAGTACACAATACACAAGTACATATCAATAATTATTGATCACAAATGTACCGAGCGAACTTAGTCATGGAATTCCTAGTTCCAGTTATAATCATGATAATATACTTATTGTATCCATCTATGGAAGCCATTCCTATCTGTCATTGGTTTCAAGCAAGTGACACAGTAATCACCACTTGCATATGTGGGCCCTAAGTGAGGTGAGGTGAAATTGGGTTTAACGTCGTGCTTGAGAATATTTCGCTCATATGACGACGTGCATGCGTGTGTATGTGTATGTGCGGCTGCTTGTACTAGCCCAGACTGAAGCTGGTTTTATAGTGCTAGCCCACTGAGATACCATGCCGCAGTGAAGCATGAATACCCCACTCAGACACATTATACTGACTCTTAGCCGACCAGTCCTTGTTGAACCCATTAATGCCGAACGCCATGCAGGGACCAACAAGTACCATATTTTAACGTCTTTTGGTATGACGCGGTCGGGGAACGAACCCGCGACCTTCTGCTCTCAGGGCGGACGCTCTAACCACTACACCACGGAGGCAGTGGGGGCCCTACTCATACTCTCATGTACACACCAATATGTCTGTGTATGTGTCTCTGTGTACTATCTTAAATCATATAGAAACATATGAACTATATTGATCCCTCACAAAATCCAGCCCACTTCAAACATTGCAGTGATTGTCTGAATATATGTTCTTTGAATTGTTTATTCAGGACAGGCCAAAGAAGGTAAAAGTTGCCCAGGACGCCACAAGCCCAGACAAGTCAGCCAAGTCTGATGTCGACCCAGACAACACAAGCCAGGTCCCTGGAAAAACAGACTCACACAAAGAAGATGAAGAAATGAAGCAAGATGAAGGAATTAAAGAAGATGAAGAGGATGGTAGGACCAGATAAACAGAATAGATCAGTGAAAGTCCTATTGGCCAATATGGACTGTGACAAAAGCTTAGAGTCCACTAGCCCTAACTTATCTTCTTCATTTTCAGTATTAATAAATAGCTGGTGATGTTGGACCCAAAAATAATATTTCTGCACTGGGCCTAGCTTTCACCTGGTAGCCTGTTTAACTGACAACATTGTGAGCAAACCTTGGTGTGTACCATGGTAAGACTGAGAGTGTACTGTTTTACCCCTAGTGTGTATATTACTTCAGGAAGTGCAAAATTTTAGCAAAATTTTATCATTTTTAACAGCAATTTTCACCTATGTGCATATTTTTCAAATACTTAAATTTGGTATTTTCTTAAAGCTCATTCATCGTAGATTCAAAATATATATGCAGCTTTCGAGGCACACAAACACACACAAGTTTGTTATTGTGTTGAAACACATTTAGTTTCTTTGAAACTGGGCGAAGCCATCGCGCTCAGAAGTGATTGGGGAAGCAAGTCATTAAAGGGAGGTAACCGATGCCTGACTAAATTGTTTAGGTCATCTTGTGACCTGGACTGTTTGAAGCCTACGTAATATATATGGTGCTATTTATCTCACGTCTTAAAACATTTCTTCTTAACGACAAAGAAGATGTAAAAGATAAAGACCGTAATATGAATACCATTTTCTTATAGGGACTATATTATTTGGTGGAAATAAAATCATTGGAAAACACGAATGAGAGAGGGGGTTCACACCCACCGATGTAAAAACATGCCTGAGAGTTCATAGTTTTCAGTTGCTGTCGGTTTTTACGTCCGTTTTCTCTTAGGTGCAATTTTGACAGACACACAGTAATGTATCCTATACAGCCCTTGAAGGTCTGCCTGTATCTTAAGATAATCATAATTTAAATATGGGTTTTTAGGAGGTTGTTTGTTGGGGTAAAATATCTTCATTTCATAGACTAGATATTAGTTTAATGTGTCGCTGTGTTAGTTTTCTACATTGGCGCCTGACTCTGATATATTTATAAGTGTGACCTATATATGTATAAGATCTTATGTCTTATATATATCTAGTCATACTTATAAATATATCAGATTTGGGCACTTTTGGTGCCAGTCCGAGAGGATGTAGTTTCATCATGATTGATGTATTAGTTAGGGGAGTCATGATACCACCACCTTTTTATGTTCAGGTGTACTAACATGTTGGGGCGATGGGGTAGCCTAGTGGTTAAAGTGTTCGCTCGGTTCACCAAAGACCCGGGTTCGATTCCCGAAATGGGTACAATGTGTGAAGCCCATTTCTGGTGACCCAGATATTGCTGGAATATTGCTAAAAGTGGCGTAAAAACCATACTCACTCACTCAGTAACATGTTACGGTACTTGTTTTCAATGTATAAGCTGAATGGTTTGTTATTTCAAGCGAGTTCTGCTAGCTTTACCCCGTCATATTCCCCCCTAGTTTATAGGTGGAAGACATCGGTCTGGCATTATTGAACCATTTATCTGTGACATTAGCTTATGACATAAAAACATGTATGTCATGTGTATAATTATATATTTTTTGACATGTTTCTGATGTTTATTTTGATGCATCTATTTCTTAAACAGGGAAACAGTGATCATGGCCATGTGAAAATGATTCCTAGAATTTATCTCAAGTGTTTTATATCTGGAAAATGTCAATCTCATCACTTTCGTCAGTGTTTGCAAAGCCCTTGGTGATTAACTTATACTCGTGAGTATGGTTTTGTGCCGCTTTTAGCAATATTCCAGCAATATCATGGCGGGGAACACCAGAAATGGGCTACACACATTGTATCCATGTGGGGAATCGAACCCGGGTCTTCGGCGTGACGACATAGCTTTAACCACTACTCTACCCTGTCGCCCCCGAGACTCAGGAAGACCATGAAAATTCATAACATAACTGTGAGATGATGGATGATTTGTTTGCCCCCAGTTAGTGACAGTGAAGAAGATGAAGATGTGGACGCCTCGCCGATGGATGTGAAACAGTACATCAAACACAAGTACCTGGTGGAAATGCCACAAGACTTCTATGATTTCTGGGAGTTCTGTAAGACAGAAGACTCGGCTGCACCAACAGGTGAGTGAGTTTGGTTTTACGCCGCTTTTAACAATATTCCAGCAATATCATGGCAGGGGACACCACAAATGGGCTTCACACATTGTAGCCATGTAGGCAATCGAACCCGGGCTTTAACCACTGGGCTACCCATCACCGGGCCGGGACAAGTCAGTTTTCACCGGGCAATCCCATCATATCCCAATTGGTGAGGTTGATGCTCATGATGTTGATCACTGGACTGTCTGATCCATATACAGCCCATATAGCTGGAATATTGCTGAGTGCGGCATTAAACACAAAAGAAAAAAAAATGCAAGGTGTCTGCGTGCAGATCCTGAAAAGATGCATAATTAATTACTGGTGTGTTTATTTTAAAGCTATTTACCGTCAAGCATGTTCTCCAACAGATGTGTTCAAGAGGGTGCTAGGGTTCCAGCTGGTCGGCCCATTTGACATTCTGGCTGGGAAACACGAAGGAGTCACTCACAACGCGGGGAAGAAGCCCAACTTCCTGCGACACTGGCGGTACTACTATGACCCTCCGGAGTTCCTCACTGTTGTCAGGGGAGACGATGACACACAGTTCCACATCGGCTACTTCAGGTGAGACTCACAAGTCTTGTATTAACAAGAAAGATCGTAACGACTTTGTTTATTTGTGTAATTTTAAGTTGTGCACAACTCATATCTCGGCAACATGGATTTGTCCAGTGAAGAAGAAACACTAGCCTTAATGTCTGTCTGCATATCGCAGTCAATGAAAATAAAGAAGAGAAAGCCTAAATTGGCATGGATCTGTAACTGGATTCTTAGTCGGAACATTCAAGTGACAGTAAAAACCTACAAACTGCTCAGTTTCTTCTTTTGTAAGGTCGATGTTTTTTTAATCTCAGACATGATGTCAACATAAACATAAGTGACGTCACCCTGAGGTGTACACAGATCTAAGCGATTTGATTGGTCGAGAGCTTGCGACTTGTGAGGTGAGGTGAAATTGGGTTTAACGTCGTGCTTGAGAATATTTCGCTCATATGACGACGTGCATGCGTGTGTATGTGTATGTGCGGCTGCTTGTACTAGCCCAGACTGAAGCTGGTTTTATAGTGCTATCCCACTGAGATACCATGCCGCAGTGAAGCATGCATCCCACTCAGACACATTATACTGACTCCGAGCCGACCAGTCCTTGTTGTACCCATTAATGCTGAGCGCCAGGCAGGGACCAACAAGTACCATGTTTTAACGTCTTTTGGTATGACGCGGTCGGGGATCAAACCCGCGACCTTCCTCTGGGCGGACGCTCTAACCACTACACCACAGAGGCGGTCCTGTGACTTGTGAAGGAATTAGGACAAGTCTTGTATCTTACAACTCTGCTGCGACTAGTTGTATGAGATTAGACATCGTTATGATTGGGGTGTTCCCAGGTTGCAACTGTGTTGCATGCTACAAGTTCTCACTACAAGTCGTACTGTGCGAACGCACCTTTAAGGCTTCTCACGTACATTACGTCTATCACTGTCCACAGGCTGGTCGAAGTCTCATGTAGACAGCTCTGATGGTTGTACAAGGGAGTCCAAGTACAGTACAACCAGAAATTACTGAAAATTTAAGATTGTAATTTTGTTTTATATATGCCACCCCTCACGTTAAATTTCGGACTGTATTTTGGGCGCTGATTCAAAGGTTTTTCAGTTTGTTTGGTCCAGAATTTCAGTGTATTAGGAAACAGCCACACAGAACTTTCATCTGAGAAAATCACATTGTCCCAGTTAAAATTTCTATGCTGTAAGCACCAGTTCAACCTTCGCTCTATTTGTTCAGGTTTCATGATCGGTGATGGAATTCCTCGACTTTTCTGCCAACCCATTGCATGCAGCTCAGTTCTAATTGTCTCCTTACAGACAGCCACATTTCCTCTATCAATCATACCCAGCCTTAAGTTTTCTAAACTCCTTCGTTTTTGTTTTTAGAAACAAGAATACCAAGCTGCCTCCTGTCACCGACAGTCAAATTTCTGGGCCTACCTGCGCCTCCCTGGTGCTCAATGCCATATCCATTTGCAATATTTTTCAAAACACGATAAACAGTGGACAAAGGGATGCCTGTTCTACTTGAAATCACTTTAGCTGATCTGATGTTCTTGTTATAATACTCTAAAATCAACTTCCTCTTCTCTAAATCATCCATACTGAGGATCACTGAAAATGTCGTCTGCTAGCAAATAAACAAAGGGGGATAACTCTTCACAAACTAATGAAAAAGGATTAACGGAGTTGTCTCTCTTGAATGAAACCAAACACTTGATAGCTGGTTAAGGTTGTTTATACTAGAAATCAGATTAAACATATTCCTAAAATTCTCAATAATTTCTGGTCATACTATAAACACAACTCCATGTTACTTCTTTGAGTGGCATTTAGAAGCTGCTATGATGAAGAGAAACAATTTTCTTTTGATAGACTGCATCTTAATTGCAATGGATGCGACATTTCGGTGTATATGGTAACACGGTTTTAGCATCCCCACCAAGGCATCGCATCTGTTGCCATAATGAAGTTGTCTATCTTTAAACATTGTTCCTCTTCACAACTCTTGTTAACTGAAGTTTGAATAGGCTTCCAGGACAACATGGTTCGAGAGCATGTTCTAAACTCTGTGCAAAGGCAGGAACGTCATCGTAATTCCTACCCACACTGTGTCGTTATAGACTTTTGGAGGCAGTATAACATTGCTGTCCTCCATAACCACCTGCTTCGCTACCCCGCTCAATTGAGAACATGTCCAGAATGAGTGGGTGAGGATGGTTTTACATCAATATTTTAGCAATATTCCAGCAATATCAAGGCGGGGACACCGGATGTGGGCTTCACGCATTGTACCCATGTGTGGGATCAAACCTAGGCCTTCGGCATGAGGACTAAACGCTTTAACCACTAGGTTACCCCACGCCCCTGTCCGGGATGAGCAGGACCCATGTCTTGGTGGTAACGCCAACTCAGACATGTGTAACAACATCGCCCGGCTATGTTCAATCATCTCGAACATGTGTTCAGTGTATTGCTGCTGCGGTCTTCTATCAGTGAAAGTAGTGCTGATTAGTGGCAGTCTGAAAGAAATAATCAAAGATTGGTCACAGTGACCAAAGGACCGAGTCATTCAGAATGCCAACCCTTACATGGGTACTTATTACGAAGCCCATTAAATTATGCCATTACATTTAATCTGCGAAATTACATGTTGTACTGGTTTTCTGAAAATCAATAAAGTGCTAAAATTTCAGCGTAAAACCAAACTCAGTTGCAGTCAGAATTGCTTGCTGCTGTCCCTCTTCTATCAGTGAAAGTGGTGCTGATTATTTTGAGTCTGATTAATTTTCGATAATTCAAAGATTGGTCACAGTGACTTCCTTTAGGTGAAAGGACCATGTTGATTCGGCAGAGATGCCAAATTACACTTTTTGACCTCTCTAGCTTTACAGGCCCAAAATAGGGTTGGCATATTTTGATTGATCACATATTCATTAAATTACAAACATTTTGGACATTTTTAATCTGCAAAGATTGAACATATCCTAGAAGTTGTCAGGGTACTGAAAAGCGTTTTAATTCTTAGAATACTCACGTGCTGAAAAGTCATGACTGAATATTTCTTGAAGATTCTGGGAAGTTTATGTTCATGATATATTAATCATCACTTTAATTTACAAATGAAATTTGCGCAGTTTCTAAATAAAGCAAAACAACAAGAAGAGAGAACCATGTTATATTTATCTGCAATAACAGCCTGAATAGGAAAATCTGAAAAATGATGCTAACCATGTGATAAAAATATGATAAGAGCGGAAGAAGTAATTTTTTTTGGTGTGGGTACAAGTCTATATGATTAAGTGTGACAGAAATACATAGCAGTGCAACTGAAGTTTGGCAGGTGTAACTAGGTTTTTATGTATGGTTGCACCTGGTGCAAGTAGCCCTGAAAAAGATGCGTGTTTGTTTTCCCATGATTTGATGAGAATTTTTAACTTTTTTAAATTTCGCGTTTTGTTTCCCCAGTTATCCCGACATTGGCCTGGCCTAATGTGGGGTGATGCAATGAAAAAGATGTGTGCTTTTAACTTCTTTGAGTGGCATTGTTTAGAAGTTGGAGACTAATATACAGGAAAACTTTATTAGGTAGACAACTTCTAACACGGTAGATCGCGGCGTTTCGATACAGATTCTTGTATCGTTGTCAAGCAAGTATACCTGCGAATAAAGAAGTTGTTTATCCACAAAGTTTGTCTGTATATGTGTGCTTTTTTCCTAAAAACCCTACAGTCAGTCATGATATTGCTCATAATTACTGTTGTTTTTTGGGGGGGTGGGGGTGGGTGTAGCCTAATGGTTAAAGTGAACGCTCTTCACCACATCCAGGTTTGACCTTGCATGCTCCCTTGCTGTCGACTCCTTTTTAACAAACTATTCCTCCCCTGATCAGTGAAAGCAATGAGACACTAGTGGTTAAAGCGATCACTGTTTGGCTGAACTATCAGCCACTGTTTGGGGGCAGTGGGGTAGCCTAGTGGTTAAAGCGATCACTGTTTGGCTGCCTGTTTGGGGGGCAGTGGGGTAGCCTAGTGGTTAAAGCGATCACTGTTTGGCTGAACTATCAGCCACTGTATCAGCCCTAGTGGTTAAAGCGATCACTGTTTGGCTGAACTATCAGCCACTGTTTGGGGGCAGTGGGGTAGCCTAGTGGTTAAAGCGATCACTGTTTGGCTGAACTATCAGCCACTGTTTGGGGGCAGTGGGTAGCCTAGTGGTTAAAGCGATCACTGTTGGGCTGAACTATCAGCCACTGTTTGGGGGCAGTGGGGTAATCTTGTGGTTAAAGCAATCACTGTTTGACTGAACTATCAGCCACTGTTTGGGGGCAGTGGGGTAGCCTAGTGGTTAAAGCGATCACTGTTTGGCTGAACTATCAGCCACTGTTTGGGGGCAGTGGGGTAGCCTAGTGGTTAAAGCGATCACTGTTTGGCTGAACTATCAGCCACTGTTTGGGGGCAGTGGGATAGCCTAGTGGTTAAAGCAATCACTGTTGGCTGAACTATCAGCCACTGTTTGGCTGTTGGGCTGAACTATCAGCCACTGTTTTGGGGGCAGTGGGGTAGCCTAGTGGTTAAAGTGTTGTCTAGTCACGCCGAAGGCCGAGGTTTGATTCCCCACATGGGTACAATATGTGAAGCCCATTTCTGGTGTCCCCGCGGTCATATTGCTGTATATTGCTAAAAGCGGTGTAAACCCATACTCACTCAGTTTTTTTTCTTCCAAATTTCTTACTTTATTTGAAAGTTAACCATGATATTCCTACTGGCCCAGTGTCATTTTGATATGTATATGGATGTTTGCAGGGATGATCCCAAGGAGATGCCGGTCTTTCTTGCTGCAAACTCCGCCAAGACGAGCTGTGTGCTCTCACCAAGGGGAGACAACCTGTTCGCTGCTGTCAGGTATGTTGACATGGTTACTGGATTTAACCAGGATGGTAATGCAAATCAGGCTAATCAAGAAATGACAGGTTTGGTTTGTCCTAAATTAAAAAAAATTGAACTATCAGCCTCTGAAGACAGATCGATTAATCCCATATAAGGCTATCATTTGTCTCTATTTGGATCATGGATCTGATGTACCTATGTTCTAAAAACAATTTAACCTCTTCCCTCTGATATGTCATGCTGGCACCTGTGATATGTCATGCTAACACCTGTGACATGTCATGATAGCACCTGTGGTATGTCATGTCATGCTAACACCTGTGGTATGTCATGCTAGCACCTGTGATATGTCATGCTAACACCTGTGGTATGTCATGCTAGCACTTGTGATATGTCATGCTAACACTTGTGACATGTCATGCTAGCACCTGTGACATGTCATGCTAACACCTGTGACATGTCATGCTAACACCTGTGGTATGTCATGCTAACACCTGTGACCTGTCATGCTAACACCTGTGACCTGTCATGCTAACACCTGTGACCTGTCATGCTAACACCTGTGACATATCATGCTAACACCTGTGACATGTCATGCTAACACCTGTGACATGTCATGCTAACACCTGTGATATGTCATGCTAACACCTGGGACATGTCATGCTAACACCTGTGGTATGTCATGCTAACACTGTGGTATGTCATGCTAGCACCTGTGATATGTCATGCTAACACCTGTGACATGTCATGCTAGCACTTGTGATATGTCATGCTAACACCTGTGACATGTCATGCTAGCACCTGTGATATGTCATGCTAACACCTGTGATATGTCATGCTAACACCTGTGATATGTCATGCTAGCACCTGTGACATGTCATGCTAACACCTGTGACATGTCATGCTAACACCTGTGGTATGTCATGCTAACACCTGTGACCTGTCATGCTAACACCTGTGACATGTCATGCTAACACCTGCAATGTGGTATGTCATGCTAACACCTGTGACCTGTCATGCTAACACCTGTGACATGTCATGCTAACACCTGTGGTATGTCATGCTAACACCTGTGACCTGTCATGCTAACACCTGTGACATGTCATACTAACACGTATATCATGCTAGCACCTGTGATATGTCATGCTACCAGTGCCACCTGTGATATGTCATGCTAGCACCTGTGATATGTCATGCTAGCACCTGTGATATGTCATGCTACCAGTGCCACCTGTGATATGTCATGCTAACACCTGTGATATGTCATGCTAGCACCTGTGACATGTCATGCTACCACCTGTGGCATGTCATGCTAACCCTGTGATATGTCATGCTTACACCTGTGGTATGTCATGCTAACACCTGTGATATGTCATGCTAACACCTGTGGTATGTCATGTTAGGACTTGTGATATGTCATGCTAACACTGTGATATGTCATGCTAGCAGTGTTAATAAGAAATCATGTAAAAAACCTAATATGCTAAGTTTTTTTTAATTATTTTGCCAAAACTGATGAGTTGAGGTGAATACTTGTAATATCTGTAAAATAAAGTCTGTGATACAATTTAAAATGATAACTCTGGGATCAGCTTTCTAAATAATGCTATTTAAAGTAGTGGTGTTACGATTAATTGAAATAATAGAAGATTGGTTGCAGTGACCAAACGACCAAACAATCCATCACATTTTCTCATAATCGAACACAAGCGATTTTGGAACTACTGTTTTAGTGTTGGAACATATCTTAGAAGCTGTCAGGGCGTAAAAAAACATGTGTCATTCTTAGAAACTCACTTCACTTACTGAAAACTCATGACTGACAACTATTGCGATAGCGATAGTCTATTGCTACAGTACTATTGCAATAGTTAGTTTCTCCTTAAATTGTCTCATTTGAAGCCATTTCCTAAATGAATGTATAGTTTTTAGTTTCAGTCTCTTTTAATAACTGACAAGAAACCTGAAACCCCGATCAAGTAAACAACTAAAACATAAACTCAATGAAGCTGCAAGTCTGCACCCAAACAATAAAAAAATACAAAACAGCATAAATATTTCATAAAAATAAAGTCAATTACAAAACTATCGATAGTCACACATACCATCGATGCATTGATAGTTTTTCGTTTCTATCATCGGTTAATTGCCATCGGAGACTCAATAACTGCAATCCATTGATAGTTCAATGCATCGTCACAGCCCTAATCTAGAGACTTGGTTTTGGTGACAAAGACTTAGACAATAACTAACGAGTTACGGGAATGACAGATTATCTTTCCCGAGTTCTATTAATTACGTAATTCTCAAGGGAAAGATAGTCTGTGCTTCCCTGTCACGAGTTGGTTGTTGTTTTTATTACTTATATCAGTTTTCGATCTAAAAAATGTCAAAATGAAAACAGCAGTCTCTCTATAAGGAAACACGTGATGTGGGGAATCACCAATCCCTACGCGTTGATTGGCTGTTTGATTTTCTGACAGCCAATCAGTGTTCACCAAAATGTAACCTCCCTAGGGACTTACAGGAACCATACTACCCTGTGTCCTCCTTCCTATATGGGTTATAACATTTGTTATTTGATTATAAATGTATGAGGAATTCAGTGGTATATTTGTAGCAGCTGTGTGTGAAATATACGTGATGTAATAGGCGTCTCATGATCGGCCTCTGGAAATGTGATTTGTAAACGCTATCCAGTATGGCAGAAAGCTCACTTTGGCATCCCAACCACTTCTAGGTTTATCAGCGATTTTAGACAATAACCATTGGAAATTTGATAAACAACAGATATCAGTGATTATTATAATATTATTTTTGAAATTCAATCCTGCGAGTAATTATCTGATTTCTACATTTCAAAATGGCAACATTTACTATGTACGTAATTTTGAAAGGTCATTTTCAGCACTTTTGCTTTGTCTAAGAAAATAATGGAAGGTATCAAGTAACAGGAAATTTCCCACAGAATTCAAAACTGTGAAGTGTATTTGGGTGTGATGTATTTTGAATGCTATCAATTTTAACTAATCCTGCACTCCTTAGGAAGTGAGGAGTGCAGGATAAGTATACAAATATATAAAAAATATTTAGATTTTACTAATACTTCAAAGTGAAGGGTGAAGGGGAGGGTCTCTCTGGCATCCATGGGGTTAAACCGTAATGTTTGTGGTATGACCAGCTGATGTGTGTGGTGTGCACTGCTAATGTCTGTGCTCTGCTCAACTTTTTGTGTTCTGTACTGCTAATTTTTGTGTTTTGTGCAGGTAATGTTTGTGTTCTGCTCTGCTGATGATTGTGTTCTGTATTCCTTATGTCTGTCTTCTGTACACCTTATGTCTGTGTTCTGTACACCTTATGTCCGTGTTCTGTACACCTTATGTCCGTGTTCTGTACACCTTATGTCCGTGTTCTGTACACCTTATGTCCCGTTGTTCTGTACACCTTTTATGTCCTTGTTCTGTACACCTTATGTCTTATGTCTGTGTTCTGTACACCTTATGTCCTGTGTGTTCTGTACACCTTATGTCTGTGTTCTGTACACCTTATGTCCGTGTTCTGTACACCTTATGTCCTGTGTTCTGTACACCTTATGTCTGTGTTCTGTACAATCTTACCTGTATGTCCTGTTCTGTACACCTTATGTCCGTTCTGTACACCTTATGTCCTGTGTTCTGTACAACCTTATGTCCGTGTTCTGTACACCTTATGTCCTGTCCTGTAACACCTTATGTCTGTGTCCGTGTACACCTTATGTCCGTCCTGTACACCTTATGTCCTGTTCTGTACACCTTATGTCTGTGTTCTGTACACCTTATGTCCGTGTACACCTTTATGTCCTGTCCGTGTACACACCTTATGTCCGTATTCCTGTACACCTTATGTCTGTGTCATGTACACCTTATGTCCGTGATCCTGTACACCTTATGTCCGTGTGTTCTGTACACCTTATGTCCTTGTCCTGTACACCTTATGTCTGTGTCCTGTACACCTTATGTCCGTGTCTGTACTGTACACCTTATGTCTGTGTTCTGTACACCTTACCTTATGTCCGCCTGTCTCTGTACACCTTTTGTCCGTGTTCCTGTACACCTTATGTCTGTGTTCTGTACACCTTATGTCCGTGTCTTGCTATTTTCTGTACACCTACACCTTATCCGTGTTCTGTACACCTTATGTCCGTCTGTACACCTGTGCACCTTTCTGTCCTTATGTCTCACCTTTTATGTTCTGTACACCTTTATGTCTGTGTCCTGTACACCTTATGTCCGTGTTGTGTACACCTGTCCTGTCCTTCTGTACACCTTATGTCTGTGGTTCTTGTGCCATGTGTCTGTGTCCATGTTCTGTACACTCCTATGTCCTGTACTGTACACCTTATGTCGTGTTCTGTACACCTTATGTCCTTTCTGTCCATGTATGTGTCCTGTACACCTTATGTCTGTACACCTTATGTCCACCTTATGTGTCCTGTACACCTTATGTCCGTCACTGTACACCTTATGTCCGTGTCTCCGTGTGTACACCTTCTTATGTCTGTGTGTTCTGTACACCTTATGTCCATGTTCTGTACACCTTATGTCCGTGTTCTGTACACCTTATGTCCTGTTCTGTACATTATGTCTGTGTTCTGTATTATGTCATTCTGTACACCTTTTATGTCTGTGTTCTGTACACCTTGTGCTGTGTTGTACTGTACACCTTATGTCTGTGTTCTGTACACCTTATGTCTGTGTTCTGTACACCTTATGTCTGTGTCCTGTACACCTTATGTCCGTGTTCTGTACACCTTATGTCTGTGTTCTGTACACCTTATGTCCGTGTTCTGTACACCTTATGTCTGTGTTATGTCTGTACACCTTATGTCTGTGTCCTGTACACCTTATGTCCGTGTTCTGTACACCTTATGTCCGTTCTGTTCCTGTACCTGTACACCTTATGTCCGGGTTGTAAACCTTGTGGTGTCCTGCAGGTCCTGTACATTTTGGTTCTGTACACCTTATGTCCTGTTCTGTACACCTTATGTCTGTGTGTTCTGTACACCTTATGTCTGTGTTCCACCTTATGTACACCTTATGTCCGTGTTCTGTACACCTTTATGTCCGTGTTCTGTACACCTTATATGTCTGTCCACCTTCTGTACACCTTATGTCTGTGTTCTGTACACCTTATGTCCTGTGTCCTGTACACACCTTATGTCCTGTGTTCTGTACACCTTATGTCCGTCCTGTGTTATGTCTGTACACCTTATGTCCTGTGTTCCTGTACACCTTATGTCTGTGTTCTGTACACCTTATGTCCGTGTTCTGTGTCCTGTACACTTTTATGTCTTATGTCTGTGTGTCTGTACACCTTATGTCTGTGTCCTGTACACCTTTATGTCCGTGTTCTGTACACCTTATGTCTCCGTGTTTCTGTACACCTTATGTCTGTCGTACACCTTGTGTCGTACACCTTTATGTCTGTGTTCTGTACACCTTATGTCTGTGTTCTGTACACCTTATGTCCGTGTCCTGTACACCTTATGTCTGTGTCTTATGTCTGTACACCTTATCCGTCCGTACACCTTATGTCCGTGTACACCTTATGTCTGTGTTCTGTACACCTTATGTCCTGTGTCCTGTACACCTTATGTCCGCAGTGTCTGTGTTCTGTACACCTTATGTCCGTGTCTGTACACCTTATGTCCGCACCATATGTCCGTGTACTGTACACCATATGTGGTTCTGTACACCTACTGTACACCTTATGTCCGTGTTCTGTACACCTTATGTCCGTGTTCTGTACACCTTATGTCCGTGTCCTGTACACCTTATGTCTGTGTCATGTACACCTTATGTCCGTGTTCTGTACACCTTATGTCCTTCCTGTACACCTTATGTACACCTTATGTGTCCTGTACACCTTATGTCTGTGTCCGGTGTACACCTTATGTCTTAGTGTCTGTGTACATGTACTTATGTCCACCTTATGTCCGTGTTCTGTACACCTTATGTCCGTGTCCTGTACACCTTATGTCCGCAGTGTCCGTCCTGTACACCTTATGTCCGTGTTCCGTGTACACCTTATGTCTGTGTTCTGTACACCTTATGTCCGTGTTCTGGTACACCTTATGTCCTGTGTTCTGTGTACTGTGTTGTTCTGTACACCTTATGTCCTGTTCTGTACACCTTATGTCTGTGTTCTGTACACCTTTATGTCCGTGTTCTGTACACCTTATGTCTGTGTTCTGTAATTTTATGTCATGTACACCTTATGTCTGTGTCATGTAACTGTACACCTTATGTCTGTGTTCTGTACACCTTATGTCCGTGTCCTGTACACCTTATGTCCGTGTTCTGTACACCTTATGTCCGTGTCCTGTACACCTTATGTCTGTGTCATGTACACCTTATGTCCGTGTCCTGTACACCTTATGTCCGTGTTCTGTACACCTTATGTCTGTGTTCTGTGTACTGTACACCTGTACACCTTATGGTGTTCCTTATGTCCGTGTTCTGTACACCTTATGTCTGTGTACTGTACACCTTATGTCTGGTGTTCTGTACACCTTTTATGTCCGTTCTGTGTCCGTGTACACTGTTACACCTTATGTGTTCCTGTACACCTGTGTCGGTGTACCTTATGTGTCCTGTACCCTTATGTGTACACCATGTATGTCCGTGTTCTGTACACTCTTATGTGTCCGTTTATGTCTGTCCTGTACACCTTATGTCCGTGTCCTGTACACCTTATGTCCGTGTCCTGTACACCTTCTGTGTCCACCTTATGTGTCTGTACACCTTATGTCCGTGTCCTGTACACCTTTATGTCCGTGTCCTGTACATCTGTCTTATGTCCAATTATGTCTGTACACCCTTATGTCCGTGTCCTGTGTCCGTCTGTGTTCTGTCCTATGTCCCTGTGTGCTGTACACCTTATTCTGTAGTCATGTTCTGTTCTGTACACCTTATGTCCTTGTCCTGTACACCTTATGTCTGTATTCTGTACACCTTGTTCTGTCACCTTATGTCCGTGTTCTGTACACCTTATGTCTGTGTTCTGTACACCTTATGTCCTGTCCTGTACACCTTATGTCCTGTGTTCTGTACACCTGTATGTCCTGTGTTCTGTGTACACCTTATGTCCGTGTCCTGTGTGTCTGTGTCCTGTACACCTGTAAGTCCGTGTTCTGTATTCCCTCTGTCTGTGTCCTGTACACCTTATGTCTGTGTTCCTGTACACCTCCATGTCCTGTGTACACACCATATGTCCTGTGTTCTGTACACCTTATGTCTGTGTTCTGTACACCTTATGTCCGTGTCCTGTACACCTATGTCTGTGTCATGTCTGTACACCTTTTATGTCCGTGTCCTGTACACCTTATGTCCCAGTGTCATTCTACACCTTATGTCCATGTGTTCCACACCTTATGTCTGTACTGTCTGTACAATCTTATGTCTGTGTACACCGGGCCATGTCCGTGTCCTGTACACCTTATGTCTGTGTTCTGTACCACCTTATGTCCGTGTATCCATGTACTTCACCTCTTATGTCCGTGTCCTGTACACCTTATGTCTTATGTCCATGTACACCTTATGTCCGTGTTCCTGTACACCTTATGTCCGTGTCCTGTACACCTTATGTCCATTCTGTATGTCCTGTTCCCATGTCCATGTCCATTGGTTCTGTACACCTTATGTCCGTGTCCTGTACACCTTATGTCCATGTCCTGTGTTTGTACACCTTATGTCCTGTTCATTCACTCTTATGTCCATGTCTGTACACCTTTATGTCCGTATTCTGTACACCTTTGTCCTGTTCTCATCTATACCTCCTTATGTGTCCATGTCCCTGTACACCTTATGTATGTCTTATGTCCCCTGTTCTGTACACCTGTATGTCCGTGTCCTGTACACCTTATGTCCGTGTTCTGTACACCTTATGTCTGTTCCTTATGTACACCTTTTCCGTGTCCTGTACACCTTACACCTTATGTCCCTTATGTCCTGTACACCTTTATGCTCCGTATTATGTACACCTTATGTCCGTTCCTGTACACCTTATGTCCGTGTCCTGTACACCTTATGTCCGTGTCCTGTACACTCTTATGTCTGTGTACAATCTGTACACCTTTTATGTCTGTGTTCTGTACACCTTATGTCCTGTCCTGTACACCTTATGTCTATGTTTATGTTACACTTTTATGTCCGTGTTCTTGTACTGTACACCTTATGTCCACCTGTCCTTTACACCTTATGTCCGTGTTCTGTACACCTTTATATGTCCTGTTCTGTACACCTTATGTCCGTGTTCTGTACACCTTTATCTTATGTCCGTGTTCTGCATGTACACCTTATGTCCGTGGTCCTGTACACCTTATGTCCGTGCACTTTTTATGTCTGTGTCAACACCTTATGTACCGTGTCCTGTACACCTTATGTCCGTGTCCTGTACACCTTATGTCTGTGTCATGTACACCTTATGTCCGTGTCCTGTACACCTTATGTCCTTGTTCTGTACACCTTATGTCCTGTCATGTACACCTTATGTCTGTATGTCCGTGTTCTTATGTACACCTTATGTCCGTGTCCTGTACACCTTATGTCCGTGTTCTGTACTGTACATGTCCGTTTCTGTACACCTTATGTCCATGTTCTGTACACCTTATGTCCGTGTCCTGTACACCTTATGTCCGTGTTCTGTACACCTTATGTCCGTGTTCTGTACACCTTATGTCCGTGTTCTGTACACCTTATGTCCGTGTCCTGTACACCTTATGTCCGTGTCCTGTACACCTTATGTCCGTGTTCTGTACACCTTATGTCCGTGTTCCACCTTATGTACACCTTATGTCCTGTCCATGTCCTGTACACCTTTCTGTCCTTATGTCTGTGTACTGTACACCTTATGTCCGTTGTACACCTTATGTCCGTGTTCTGTACACCTTATGTCTGTGTTCTGTACACCTTATGTCCGTGTTCTGTACACCGTGTTCTGTGTCCTGTACACCTTATGTCTGTGTTCTGTACACCTTATGTCTGTGTCCTGTACACCTTATGTCTGTGTTCTGTACACCTTATGTCCGTGTCTGTACACCTTATGTCCGTGTCCTGTACACCTTATGTCTGTGTCATGTACACCTTATGTCCGTGTCCTGTACACCTTATGTCCGTGTTCTGTACACCTTATGTCCGTGTTCCTGTACACCTTATGTCCGTGTTCTGTACACCTTATGTCCGTGTCCTGTACACCTTATGTCCGTGTTCTGTGTACCTTATGTCTGTGTTCTGTACACCTTATGTCCGTGTTCTGTACACCTTATGTCCGTTGTGTCTGTACACCTCATGTACGTTCTGTACACCTTGTGTCCGTCTGTGTCCTGTACACCTTATGTCCTTATGTCACCTGTCCTGTACACCTTATGTCTGTGTTCTGTACACCTTATGTCCGTGTTCTGTACACCTTATGTCCGTGTTCTGTACACCTTATGTCCGTGTTCTGTACACCTTATGTCCGTGTTCTGTACACCTTATGTCCATGTTCTGTACACCTTATGTCCGTGTTCTGTACACCTTATGTCCGTGTTCTGTACACCTTATGTCCGTGTTCTGTACACCTTATCCGTGTTTGTTACTGTACACCTTATGTCTGTGTTCTGTACACCTTATGTCCGTGTTCTGTGTACTGTACACCTTATGTCCGTGTTCTGTACACCTTATGTCCGTGTTCTGTACACCTTATGTCTGTCTTCTGTACACCTTATGTCCGTGTTCTGTACACCTTATGTCCGTGTTCTGTACACCTTATGTCCGTGTTCTGTACACCTTATGTCTGTGTTCTGTACACCTTATGTCCATGTTCTATACACCTTATGTCTATGTTCTGTACAGCTTCTATGCGAAGGATAAACTGAAGGGGAAGGAAGTGGGCGGAGGGGACAGGAAGTGGCTGGAGGGGGTGTGTCGGAGGTTGGAGGAAAAGGCTGGGCAGCTAGGACTCTCCCTCGACATGCGCACTAAATCAATGAAGACCCGACAGAAGAAGGTAGTCTGCAACAGCTTCCACGGTGCAGGCATCGTTGTCCCAGTGGATGAGAACGAGATCGGCTATAGACCTGTGCCAGAAACTCCAAGTGAGCAATATGACATTTTACTTAGTACTGTTTCTCTGTGACCACTGGCCTACTGTGTTTTTACTTGTCTCTAGCTTGACAGATATCTGTAGTCAAATCAGTAGAGTATATTTACTATAGAACTGTCGGAAATAGAAAAAAAACTGTTTTTAGGCTGTTACTCTGTATCCCTAAACTTTACACAATTGCAAATAGCATATGTCGAAATAACCCACTTTGGCCTAACTGGACTTTCAGTGCGATGCGTAAGACGATACCCATAAAAGCATGTTTACTCGTAAAATAGGGCAAAACTTAGAAAAAATACGAATAGCTGCTGAAAACAATAAATCAGACTATAGATGGCAATTACGTCGCTCAGCCAGGTATGACGACGGACCGTCGACTCACCTGGCATGAAATGCACGTGCTGCCTACAGGCACAAGGGGTCATCTCAAAGATATTTTGTGCTTTTTCATGTGTGTTGACTATGTCTTATCTATTGATTAAAATCTTACGTGTCTTTCTTTCATTATGTTGAGATATGTAAAAGAGAATGATACCCGAAAACCATAAAAACGCATCGTAGTATATAGGTGGCATTACCACTCGAAGATCGAAAGGACTGGATATTATTTGTAAATTGTTATGACGCGCTGTGTACCTCACCAGTATAATTGCCCTAAAGGATTATCTTTTCTTAGCTGATATCTCTATCCCCCTAGCCCGACCCCAGGTTTTGCTTTTGAGACGACCTCTCCTATCTGTTTCTTTTTATAGTGACAGTGAGACTGCATGGTAGCTACATCCTTAATAGTTTCAGCATAAATGTTATTATTTTTTATGTCAGCTATCGTTTATAATGAATCTACGTCTAATTTCAAATTGGGCATTTAAAAAATGTCTTTTGTCATACAATATCGTCGCACACTTATTTACATAAAGCCATCTGTTCCAAATAAGTCTTTTTGGACTTAGAAAAAAACCGCAATTGAATTATCATAATGTTATGACATCATCAGTTAATGACCTCACTATGCTTTGACATCTTTAAGAACACAGCTGACAATGCTATGACATCACAAGGTTGATGAGGTCAGAATGCTATGATGTCATCAAGCTGATGACATCAGAGTGCTGACCTCACTGAGATCACTGCTCACGAAGCCATATGGCAGTTTGTGTTCAGATAAATTCAATTTGTTACTGATAACTGATGAAGAATGATTTTTTATGATAAATATAATCTCACCCTCGTGTCTTCTGATATCAAAATATCAACACTTGTTGATTAAAGTTAAAAATATCCTCGGCAAGCCACAGATATTTGTAACTTTAACTTGTGTTGATATATTTGATATCAGAAGACACTTGGATGAGATTGTCTATGTCTGGCCCAATCATATGAAGTTGCCAAGACAGAACAACTCAAGTTGGTCACGTCTGAGGTCAGGGGTCATTTGACAAAGGTTAAAACCAGAGATATTTTGAATTGTTTAGACCAAGCTCATGTCAGTACTAACCTACCATGATAGATGATTTTGTTTGATGGTGTATTATTATTAATATTCTTCTTCTTATTATATGATATGTGTATTGAACCGATATCCAGCTCAGCTCAGCTGCTCAAAAGCAATTGGTTTTTCCCTCCATCATTGGATGTCAATCTCAACTCCCTTGGGATTATACAACTCTTGCAGCCATATAGCCAAGTTAATGTGGCTTTCTCATCCTTACGAGGTACCCATTCACAGCTGGGTGGACTAAGACACATAGTCACACAGAGATTTACCTTGAGTCGTGTATTTGAGGCTCCCTCGGACTCATACTCTTACTTTTCGGGGGTCCTGGACTACAAAATGGGGGTCAAAGACACTTAAACATTATTATTAATACTATGTTGTAATATTGTTGTAATTCAGTTACTGTTATTGTATTGTGTATCATGATCATCACATCGGTACAGTAATTAAATTGGAAATGATACCATGACCCGGCTATAGTTTGACATTGTCTCCCTCCCTCTGCAAGCAGTCTGCATTCTGCTGTTTATTTTGTTGACAGTTACATAGACAGATTCTTTAATACAAATGCATAAAATCGGTGATTTACAATGTGATTAGGTTGTCTGACAAAACATCCACTTGCACAGTTTGAGATCGATTGGGTCATTGGATGAGGAGATATTTACAACAAACGGGTCCACATGCATTTCATGCCAAACTATAGTTGCAGACTCAGTGATAACATATTGTTACTAGATCGAAATTTTTACAAAGAGTATTTGGACATTTTCTGTGTCCCTGTGGACACGCTAATCAATTTCGTTGCATCCATTGTCAATTTTTATGTGTATAGGATGCTGAAATTCGCGTCTAGTAAATCCCTGGTCACAGTACTTTGTCCATGTTTACTGCACGTTGCTGTACCCACAACTAGGTGTTTGCACGTATTCATGTGGCCACCATCTGGTCACTTATCATTTAGCTGAAACTTTACACACTTGTTCCAACTAATCAGGAAACTCAAATGTATAATTTGATTTTCAATATGGCCACCATGGCAGCCAAATCGAAACTCACTGTTTGTGACAATTACTGAAACTGAAAGCTAAAACTGATGACCATTACCAGCTGATTACTCAGCCATGACACCCCAGCGTGATGAAATCGGGTTTAAATTAATTGTTTTAAAAGTAATTTTGATGTTTAAACTGTCCCTAAACTTCTTATGGCCTGTACTCAGTTGTTTTGCATTAAAAAGTAGGGAAATATTGAGGGGGGAATGTTTGTGTAGTAGTGTTGTTCAACAAATATTTTCTTTTTATTTTATGTATACATTTAATTTATGAATGTTATATTTTGACCTTGCAATTAGCCTCTCTTAAATAGCAGATTTGTCCCTGTGAACTTCTCTGAAAATGAGGGAAAGGAACACTAGGATTGTTTTATTATTCTTTGTTCAGTTTGTTAGAAATTAGTTTAAGTTATTGCTTCTGCAAAACATATTTGAGTTTGTTTTGGCTGACTTTGTTTTGGAAAATGTTGACTAAATAGCAAGGTGGGCTACATTTCCGTTTTGTGTTATGAGTCATAAAATGTTTGTTTGAGTAGTGTATTTAGAAGTTGGTGATTAAAATAAGTGACACTTGCTAGACAACGCTACAAGAATCTGTATCGAAACATCGCATCAACTGAATAAAGAAGTTGTTCATCCATTACGTTTGTCCTGATCATAAAATGTTGTCTTGAACCAAGGCATATTCCGTGCTGTAGCCAGTCTGCATAATTGAGGGATTCCCGCTTATTGTACTGAACTTGGTGATTTATTTATAATTGTATGCATCAATGGTGCAGATTTATAATTTTATAAAAATTTATAATGTGTTTTAATCGGGCGCATACATAATTTCAAAATATGACCATTTTCATTGAAAGCGATTCGAAGATCAAAATCAAAATATTGAAACTTCCGGTATTAAAAACTAGGCCAACTGGCCCCTTCCAAGGAAATCCTGGCTGCAGCACTGCATTTGTCGGCCTGTGTTAACTGGCTCTGCATTGGACCACATTTGAAATTCTCTTGCTCAAATTTCACCTGATATTTTTGTTATGAAGAACAGTCAGGGATGCCCTGTAGTCAAATTTTTAATAGCTTACTGTTAACATCTTCAGTGGGCTGTCTGACATCATATATTTTTGTCCCCAGGTGACTTGAAAAAGATCCTGAAGAAAATTGTTGATGCTCGGACGGAGAAGGAACGGAACCAGTTCTTCGACCCGCTGCAGGAGCTGATCACGCTGGTGCAGTTTGCCAATGATGAGTGTGACTACGGGGAGGGTCTGGAGCTGGGAATGGACCTGTTCAGCTACGGCGGCAAGGTTTTCCACTCCACCATTCTCCATCTCCTTCCCCTGGCCTACCAGCTACTGCGACGAACACCCTATGCCAAGATCATATCAACTCACTTACGACATCGGCGACACACTGCTGACCTCAGTGAACTGGGCTAGGTTTTGTGTTAGTGAATGTCAAGGGTTATGAATGATTGGTGGTGAGCAGTTATCAGCCGATGTAAATTTCTATGATAAATTTTTAGCAACAGTCAGATTTTGGCTTCTTTTTTTAATCAAAGAACAGGCTTTCTGTGCAGGATCGAGACTCTTTCTCTTCGTATCAAGTGGAGGAATGGTGGTTGATGTTGGACTGGGCCCTGTAGATATTAGGGTCCAGTTTTCTTCTTGATTATATTTGATCTATTGGAGCAGTTGAGCCAGGTCACACATTAATACATGCATAACACAAACCATCTACATCTGATGTTGAATCTGATCTTGGAGAAAATATGTTGAAATTTCCGTCAATAAGTAGATGTATTCCAGGGCAAAATGACAGCGACTGCAAACTAACATAATGAGGACATGAGTGAGTGAGTTGAGTTTTACGCGGCACTCTCAGCAATATTCCAGCTATGTGGTGGCGGTCTGTAAATAATCGAGTCTGGACCAGACAATCCAGTGATCAACAGCATGAGCATTGATCTGTGCAATTGGTAACCGATGACATGTGTCAACCAAGCCAGCGAGCCTGACCACCCGATCATGTTAGTCGCCTCTTACGACAAGAATGGGTTACTGAAGGTACATTCTAACCCGGACCTTCACAGGTGAATTATGATATGATTATGAATGTACATGGCTGAAGGGAAGTTAAAAATCGGATGTTCAATGTTGCAATACCTTTTTCCATGTGTATATATTTTCCTGTTTTACCAACACATTTTCAGTTCCATTCAAGAAATATATATGACAAATGAGATTTAAATATTAATTTGATAATATTTTTGGAAATAATTGTGACAGCCCGACTTCAGGTGAAAATGTATGTTTTCTTAATGCAGCCATTGACTTCAGGGTTCCAGGCAATGTATTGTTTAGAAATACGTAATGTGAGTTCAGATTATTTCATGACCTGATTTTTATCATTGATAGAACTAATTATTAGTAGTCAAATATCGCCTGACTATGTCAGACTCTGGCACTCCCTTTGTCTGGAAGACGTCTACCTGGTAACTACGTACTCCATGAAAACTCCACGATCTTCCGATAATAAAAATACATGTTCTGACAATTAAAAACTGTTTGAATCTTTGTCTGGAATTGTTTAGACTGTCAAAGAAAATGATTCAATTTTCAGATAATCAAGTACCTTTTATGTCTGAATGTGTTTTAGTTGGTTATCGTCAAACCAGAATATTTCATATGATTGACCGAATGTGTGTGTGTGCGTGCGTGCGTGTGTGCGAGCGTGCGTGTGTGTGTTGTGTGGTGTGGTGTTTCCAGTCTGACATAAACTTAAAGGCCGGGGTTCAAACCTATACACAGATGGGGTGTGGCCTCCCTGCCTTGTCAAAGCTGTCGTTCAGTGCAAAGCAATGCAGTATTCAAGTACATTCCATGAAATATCACAAAATTGACTTCCCAGTTCATGATGAAATTAAGCCATAGTGTAAAGAAGTGTGTTATGAAGGCTCACTGTAAAATGTATGGATGCAGACAGCCTACAAAACATGCTTTTTGAAAATATGTTTCTGTGTGTTTTTTAATCCAGCCATATTTAATTCATTGTTCATTGTATTGTTATGACTGTTTGCGCACGGTTTTAGCACACAGTGATGTGTACAATACCGTTTATGTTGATCAGTTATGTTTTGCTGTGTTTTCATATGTTTTGGAGGTTAGTTTAGTTGATCCCAGCTGGTGCTACAAACGGAAAATGTGTTCATATCCTCAACGGAAAGTAACAACACTAATATATAAAACATCATCGAACCAAATCATCATTTGCGTGATAACGGTGTTATCTAACTACTACTGTGATACGTGCTTCCTTCTGGTTATTATCATCATTTGCGTGATAACGGTGTTATCTAACTACTACTGTGATACGCGTGCTTCCTTCCTTATCATCATTTGCGGTGTTATCTAACTACTACTGTGATACGTGCTTCCTTCCTTATCATCATTTTGCGTGATAACGGTGTTATCTAACTACTACTGTGATACGTGCTTCCTTCTTTATCATCATTTGCGTGATAACGGTGTTATCTAACTACTACTGTGATACGCTTCCTTCCTTATCATCATTTGCGTGATAACGGTTATCTAACTTATCTAACTACGGTATCTGTGATACGTACTTTCCTTCCTTATCATCATTTGCGTGATAACGGTGTTATCTAACTACTACTGTGATACGCGCTTCCTTCCTTATCATCATTTTGCGTGATAACGGTGTTATCTAACTACTACTCATGATAACGGTGTTGCTTTTGCCTGTGTTATCTAACTACTACTGTGATACGTGCTTCCTCCTTATCATCATTTGCGTGATAACGGTGTTATCTAACTACTACTATGATACGTGCTTCCTTCCTTATCATCATTTGCGTGATAACGGTGTTATCTAACTACTACTGTGATACGTGCTTCCTTCCTTATCATCATTTGCGTGATAACGGTGTTATCTAACTACTACTGTGATACGTGCTTCCTTCCTTATCATCATTTGCGTGATAACGGTGTTATCTAACTACTACTGTGATACGTGCTTCCTTCTTTATCATCATTTTACGTGATAACGGTGTTATCTAACTACTACTGTGATACGTGCTTCCTTCCTTATCATCATTTGCGTGATAACGGTGTTATCTAACTACTACTGTGATACGTGCTTCCTTCCTTATCATCATTTGCGTGATAACGGTGTTATCTAACTACTACTGTGATACGTGCTTCCTTCCTTATCATCATTTGCGTGATAACGGTGTTATCTAACTACTACTATGATACGTGCTTCCTTCCTTATCATCATTTGCGTGATAACGGTGTTATCTAACTACTACTGTGATACGTGCTTCCTTCCTTATCATCATTTGCGTGATAACGGTGTTATCTAACTACTACTGTGATACGTGCTTCCTTCCTTATCATCATTTTTGCGTGATAACGGTGTTATCTAACTACTACTGTGATACGTGCTTCCTTCCTTATCATCATTTGCGTGATAACGGTGTTATCTAACTACTACTGTGATACGTGCTTCCTTCCTTATCATCATTTGCGTGATAACGGTGTTATCTAACTACTACTGTGATACGTGCTTCCTTCCTTATCATCATTTGCGTGATAACGGTGTTATCTAACTACTACTGTGATACGTGCTTCCTTCCTTATCATCATTTTGTGATAACGGTGTTATCGTGCTTCCTTCCTTATCATCATTTGCGTGATAACGGTGTTATCTAACTACTACTGTGATACGTGCTTCCTTCCTTATCATCATTTGCGTGATAACGGTGTTATCTAACTACTACTGTGATACGTGCTTCCTTCCTTATCATCATTTGCGTGATAACGGTGTTATCTAACTACTACTGTGATACGTGCTTCCTTCCTTATCATCATTTGCGTGATAACGGTGTTATCTAACTACTACTGTGATACGTGCTTCCTTCCTTATCATCATTTTTGCGTGATAACGGTGTTATCTAACTACTACTGTGATACGTGCTTCCTTCCTTATCATCATTTTTATGATAAACGGTGTTATCTAACTACTACTGTGATACGTGCTTCCTTCCTTATCATCATTTGCGGTGTTATCTAACTACTACTGTGATATCTAACTTCTTATCTCATTTGCGTGATAACGGTGTTATCTAACTACTACTGTGATACGTGCTTCCTTCCTTATCATCATTTGCGTGATAACGGTGTTATCTAACTACTACTGTGATACGTGCTTCCTTCCTTATCATCATTTGCGTGATAACGGTGTTATCTAACTACTACTGTGATACGTGCTTCCTTCCTTATCATCATTTGCGTGATAACGGTGTTATCTAACTACTACTGTTATCTAACTACTGATACGTGCTTCCTTCCTTATCATCATTTGCGTGATAACGGTGTTATCTAACTACTACTGTGATACGTGCTTCCTTCCTTATCATCATTTGCGTGATAACGGTGTTATCTAACTACTACTGTGATACGTGCTTCCTTCCTTATCATCATTTGCGTGATAACGGTGTTATCTAACTACTACTGTGATACGTGCTTCCTTCTTTATCATCATTTTATGCGTGATAACGGTGTTATCTAACTACTACTGTGATACGTGCTTCCTTCCTTATCATCATTTGCGTGATAACGGTGTTATCTAACTACTACTGTGATACGTGCTTCCTTCTTTATCATCATTTGCGTGATAACGGTGTTATCTAACTACTACTGTGATACGTGCTTCCTTCTTTATCATCATTTGCGTGATAACGGTGTTATCTAACTACTACTGTGATACGTGCTTCCTTCCTTATCATCATTTGCGTGATAACGGTGTTATCTAACTACTACTAATGATACGTGCTTCCTTCCTTATCATCATTTGCGTGATAACGGTGTTATCTAACTACTACTGTGATATCTACGTGCTTCCTTCCTTTATCATCATTTGCGTGATAACGGTGTTATCTAACTACTACTGTGATACGTGCTTCCTTCCTTATCATCATTTGCGTGATAACGGTGTTATCTAACTACTACTGTGATACGTGCTTCCTTCCTTATCATCATTTGCGCGTGATAACGGTGTTATCTAACTACTACTGTGATACGTGCTTCCTTCCTTATCATCATTTGCGTGATAACGGTGTTATCTAACTACTACTGTGATACGTGCTTCCTTCCTTATCATCATTTGCGTGATAACGGTGTTATCTAACTACTACTGTGATACGTGCTTCCTTCTTTATCATCATTTGCGTGATAACGGTGTTATCTAACTACTACTGTGATACGTGCTTCCTTCCTTATCATCATTTGCGTGATAACGGTGTTATCTAACTACTACTGTGATACGTGCTTCCTTCCTTATCATCATTTGCGTGATAACGGTGTTATCTAACTACTACTGTGATACGTGCTTCCTTCCTTATCATCATTTGCGTGATAACGGTGTTATCTAACTACTACTGTGATACGTGCTTCCTTCTTTATCATCATTTGCGTGATAACGGTGTTATCTAACTACTACTGTGATAC